ACCACAGCAGAGCGTTCACTGGCTGAGTCCTGAACTGGGACGCACAGCTTGCCAGCTCTAAAAACTGCAAGCATTTCTGTTCAGAATGTCTTTGGCTGTCTAACTGCACCAAAAATACACTCTCTTAATTTTCTTCCTGGAAAGCTAGTTTTCCCAGTCCTGAAATGCTTGCCTGCAGAAGCAGATTCGATTTCAGCTTTTTGGATAGTTGCAGCAAGCAGTGTCATTTGCTTGTTAGCATTAGAAGGTAGGAAGGTATTTTGCTAAACTTCTATCCAGATGGGCCAGTCAAGATGAGTTTCGTGTTTCTTTCTGTTAGATAAGCATAATTTTCACTGTACCGGCATCAAAAAGTCCCAGCTAAGGTCAGCAGCATGCTATGCTATTCACCGTACAATAGCAAGAGGCAAGCTAAACGGTCTGGACTCTGAGCTGACAAGACGCAATGGATGGCAAAGAGAAGAGTCACATTCATGGTGAAGTGCGTGTAACACAGCCAGCTCCTACGGGTCAGAAATCCTGATCCTGCACCCTGGAAATCATGAACCTGGCTTCAAAAGCATAAGATTGTTAAACAAAAGAGGAGTCTGTGTTTATTGTTTCCTCGGTTTGCTTGGTTATTTGGAGCTTTTAGGAGGCACTCTGTCACATTCTCAGCATTTTTCTGAAGCTTTGACAAAGAGACACTTGGCACCAAAAGTGACTCCTGTGAAACCAAGGATGGCTCTGCAGTTACCTGAAAAGGCATCAGAGTTTCACCTTTGCTTCAGAAAATAAAAATAATAATGACTTCCACACGGAGAGTTGAGGCCGTAAGAAAGACATCAAATACATTACTCCTCCTACCCACTACTGAGAATGGGTACCACTGAGCATGACCGATGGCAAATTTTGAGACAGCTCCAATTTATGAGAAGACTGCCAGGAGGGGTAGAGGGATGAGGGGCTGAGGGAACAGGAACAAGAGAATGGCTAAAACAAACAGAGGTGAGTAGACATGAGAAGAAGCAAAAAGGTAAGAAAGAGATTAAGGGCAGAGAAAAGCTACATTGCCTCCTCCCCTCCCTTGTATCTTGATTTCTACCAGAGTTATGCTGGACAAATATCTGTGCGTATTATTTAAATGTCCTGTAGCAAGCTCTGCTCCTCGCAGCCACTGACCCTCTGCTCAGGAACTAGCTAAAAAGCAGATCTTTCTTCCCTAAAGTCAGGCTGGAAGTCCTGAAGTGCACTGGAGGAGCACAGCCCATCCCAGCTTTTCTTTATCGTGGTCCTTTTCCAGCCATTGCCTGAGAACAAACTGACAGTCCTTTAGAAATGCACTCTGTGTTTTGAGGGTAGGGACAACATGGCAACACTTCCCTGCTCAACAAAAAAAGTTATAGCACCATTTTTTCCATCTAATTTGCTTCAGACCAATAACTAATAGAGCTAGTAAGATCTGAGCAGTATTTTTCCCAAGAGGAACCTAATCTTAAATGCCTTAAATCCATAGTTTGGCACTGCTGGAAATGGCCCCATTTTCCAAGGTGTGGAAGAACTGCAGCCACTGTGGTCCTCAGGAATGCAGCACTTTTGAATAACTGCTTATCTAATCACCTAAGAAGAGATGATGATGCCTCTGGGAAGCTTGTTCTTCAGTTTTTTAACTGTAGCAACTTGTTATTTCACACTGTGAAACTTGCTGGGTGACCCAGAGGAAAGCTTTAAGCATAAGTTTCACAGGTTGCCGTTCCCAGAAAGGCTCTCAGCAAGAGTGGAAGATCCCTGGGCATGTTCTAGGTGCAGACTTGTCCAGGTCCTCATCAGTACCAGCCTCTAAGCATCTTCCATTTCCTCATCTACTTCCTCAAAATCCAGATCTTTGCTTAAACTTGCTACAGGTAAACAACAGCTGACTTGAATTATATAGGAGGTAGAACAGATTAAGAGAGAGATAAAAACTTAAGAGTTTTTAATTAAAATGAGTTCTAAAGATGAAAAAGGAATTTCAGAAACTAGACAAAACATAGAATCATAAATTCGATATGAATATTAACACGTATGCATGTGTATGTGCGTGTGTACACATATATGTTGAGTTAGGAACAGAATAATATAAACCAGAGGAAAGTCATTCCAACAGAGAAATTCTACCGCAAATACACTGCACTGTAGACCTAAGTGGCCTCATTTACTGGACTAGGTAGTCATGAAGTTGTTTCTAACTGTGAAGGATACAGTTCTAATCCATAACTTTCAGCCTAAATTATTCTGTTGCTCTGACAACATACTGCTCCTGTTCTCAGATGGGAGCGTGCCACATTTGTGTGCCACATTTTTAATATCTTTTGAAGTTTATTTGGAATAGAGACAGCATAAGATTCAGAGGTTAGTTGGGTCACCTTTTATTCTTCGGGAGAGTGGTTTTGTCACTGCCTGTGATCTTTGTGTTATTAATGGGACATGAAAGCTGAGAGAGTAGGGACTGGGAGACGTGGAGGAGAGGTGGGTAGGAGGCATGGAGGAGGTGAATCTGGAATCCCTCCCCATCTTCTTATGCCAGAGGGAACCAGACAGGGAAACTGGCTGGAGGACAGGCTGTTATCAGCTCTCATGATTTTGAGGGTTGCATAATATTTTTTAAATGTAAAGACAAAGCTTTGTGACTCATGTAGTTGCAGAAGACTGAGCGATCTTTTGAAGGCTAAAAAAGGGCAGCCTCTCCCAGTGTGATGGAGCATGATCAAATAAATCCTACTGAGGACAGGTATCTGGATATCTTCTTTTGGGTTTAACCATTCCACTTCCTACTTTGTCTCCCAGCAGCAAAGCATAACCTCCTTTTCCAAGCCACTTGAGGCTCTAAGTCCTATTATGCAATGCCTGCAGGAGACCTGAGCAGTGCAGAAGAGAGAGCACTGACCAATTTAAGCTGAAGTAAATCTAGGCAGATGGGCAGCCGACAAGAGTAAGGACACATGAATGCCTCAGCCCATGGAAAAGAGATTTAAACAATAATTATTCCCTTTCTCCTTAGAATGTCATTCAAAACACTCTATGTCAATGCAAAGGGATCCCCACGCAAATATGAAACACAGCTGATCGCAGGGACCAGTTTCATTTCTGGAGACTCATGGACAGCAGGGCGCCACCAGTTCTGAACCCCCTCTGCCACAACCAGGCACAAGGGGGTATTTAAGGCAACGACTAAAAGTGAACAAGGCTGACTGTGGAGCTACAGTGATGCAAATTAGGCAAATAATTAGGACCATCCCTGTGCATGTTAAGTCCTGCTGCTTCCTCTGCTGCTGTGTATATATCAATGAATGACTCTGGCGCCTTTGTATTTTTCACAAGCCAACTTTAAATCACAATTAATAAAGGCATCTGGTTCTTTCAACCATTTCATTTTACTTAGAGGAGGCAGATATGACATACTATCCCTTCCAATAGCTGCTTGGAGAGTTTCTCAGATGAAAGAAAGGGCAGAGAAAACGCTGCCTAATCAAATTTCTCCTGTAATCTTAGCTCTCAAGGATCTTTGTTCAGCAATGTAAAACTGTCATTTTAGCCTACAAGGAACAGGCATTTTCCTCCCTCGAGGAGTGTTTACAGGCACCCTTGATATAACATAGCAGACACAGATCTGGGCCATAAAGAACCCACATCAAAACCTACATGCAACAACTGTAACACAATAATGCATCTGTATTAGAAATCTCCATTTCACGGATCTAGAAATACTCACGATGCTTTCATTTCATACCCTATGGCTAGCCTGTAGCGACGGGACTGTGTGAAACTCAGGTGAGCGGAGAGGTTGAACTGTCCATGGTAACTTCAGCACTGGATTTCGGCACAGCCCCGCTCCCTTTTGACCGCACGGATC